GCATGTGGAACGGAAACTGGAACGGAAATTGGGATCGACCGTATCCACCTCATCCTGGTCTGCCGGAAGGCAAACCTTGGGAAATGATGGGGATAACGGAAAAAGTTTGGCAAGAAAGAAAAGTCGTTGATCAGTGCCTCAAATGTGGTGACCCCAACCACATCGTTCCCTTCTGTCCAGACTATAAACAACCGAAAGGGAACAACCAATAGGGGTTTCAGTTGCCTCTACAAAAAGATGCAAGAAGACTGACATCCTCCCATTCGAATGTTCCTGGCAGAAACTGAAAACATAAACGATCCTCACCTAGTCAACTGTCCAGAGGTAGTTAGTGTATGTACCTCTCTAGGTGGATCCCTCGCAGGCATGGGTGATGAGTTGGCCACTCATTGCAAAGCCTCGGTCGAAATGAAAAAACGGAAAGGAAAACTTATAATTGCAAATTTAGAAGTTAATAAAGTAAGAGTAGAAGGAATGATTGACAGTGGATCAACTCGCAGCTATATTAGTAAGAAAGGTCTGCAGAAGTTGCATCTTGGGCTAAAGGTAAAGCAATTGGATGAGCCCATAACAAGAATAATAGCAAATAATAGCGAGATTGTTATGGACAGATATGTTGAGGGGGTTAAGACATACTTTCGGCTCGAAGCAGAGGGGAAGGTGGAACATGTTCTCCGCTCTCTAACTCTCTTTGAAGATAATCTCCCTTTCGGCATTCTTTTAGGCACAGATTGGGGGGAAGCTGCATTTGCAAATGTGAAGTTGAGAGACCATGAGTGTTGGCTTCCTAATCCGCAAGGTGGGAAGAAGAAAATCCGTTTATTTCATGAATCTGGTAAAGAAAGCAGCTTAGCTCATCGTTGCGTAAGTGCCCCCGCGTTCGCCCGTCATATAAAGAAATCCAACTTGTTTGATCAAGTATTTGTGGCATATGTGCGCCCAATAAAAGAAGGGGAAGTTAAAGAGGAAGGAAAATCCTGAGAAGTCGGGAAAATTCTAAAGGAATTCGCAGATGTGGCAGAGGCCCCAAGCGGTGTGGTGGAACGACCAATCAAACATCACATTGAAATTATATCTGGGAGTCAGATTCCGAAGGGCCCAATTTATAAAAGGTCACCAAAAGAATTTGATGAACTGCAAACCCAACTAGACGAAATGTTGGAAAAGGGATGGATTGGGCCCAGTTCCTCGCCCTATGGTGCACCAGTGCTATTTGTGCCAAAGAAAGATGGCGGGGTCCGCAAGTGTATCGATTATAGAAGATTAAATGACATAACTATTAAAAATGTTGAGCCATTACCCAAAATTGATGATTTGTTGGATAGGGTTCAAGGTAGCAAGTACTTCACGAAAACTGACTTGAAGTCTCACGAAAACTGACTTGAAGTCTGGCTACCATCAGATTGAGATAAAACCAGAAGACCAATATAAGACTGCCTTTCACACTAGGTATGGGCACTATGAATTCATTGTGTTGCCCTTTGGTCTTACTAACGCACCTGGAACTTTTCAACGAACAATGAATGAGCATTTTCGTGAATGGCTTGATAAATTTGTAGTTATATATTTGGACGATATCCTGATTTTCAATAAAAGTCTAAGTGAGCATTGTAAGCACCTTCGACTTGTGCTAAATAAATTGCGTGAAGCAAAACTGAAACTGAACCTCGAGAAGTGTGAGTGGGCAAAGCGTCAGGTATTATATCTA